TTTGGTCCGGACCAAACAACTGGACCAAAGGACTTTCCTAGTCTGAATACAGGAAGTGCTCCATTGACTTCCATAATAACATAAAAAAGTGCGGAGCTCCGTGGACACAGTGCACGTCGCAGTTTAGCAACGATTTTTCAAAGCAAAGCAGAAAACAAACTAGATAAAACTTTTAGATAGATTTTAAAATGCTAAGCAGAGGCTAGGCATGAAAACGAGTGAAAAAAACAAAAACCTGACCGGGATCAGGCAGCACATTCACATGCCTCACCTGAAAGTTACACGTTTTAATTTGAAAAGACTGAGAAATGTTTGTGTTTCATAATAAAGTCCATCTGTTTCAGGGCTCGAGCTCCGCAGACCCGTCACCTGGGAGTTTGAACGACCTTTGACCTCTGAGGTGGTCACAGGATCCACAGGGTCAGCCCTCCTCAGTGGTGTGAGTCCTCATGTGTCGGATCAAATGAGATTTCTGGCTGAATCTGTTCCCACAGACCTGGCATAACAAGGGTTTCTCACCGCGGTGAGAGATCTTATGATAGGTCAAACCGTTGCGATTGCAGAAATCTTTCCCACACACGTCACATGAGTAGGGCCTCTCACCTGTGTGAGTCCTCATGTGGCTGATTAAGGTGCACTTCTGACCGAAGCTCTTCCCACACGTCTGACAGGAGAAGGGCTTCTCACCTGCGTGACTCTTCATGTGGGAAATCAGGAGGCTTTTAGAAGAGAACCGTTTGCCACAGGCCTGACACAGGAAGGGCTTCTCACCTGTGTGAGTCCTCGTGTGTCTGATCAGGTGAGACTTTTGAAGGAAACTGCTCCCGCAGGTTTGGCACGAGAAGGGCTTCTCACCGCTGTGAGAAAGCATGTGATAAGACAGGCCACGGTTCTGAGAGAAACTCTTCCCGCAGACCTTACAGGGATAGGGYTTCTCACCTGTGTGAGTCCTCAGGTGGTCCTTCAGAGTGCCGCTCTGAGAGAAACACCGACCGCAGACCTGACAGGAGTAGGGCTTCTCACCCGTGTGAGTTCTCATGTGCAGAGTTAAGTTGTAGCTTCGAGGGAAGCTTTTGCCACAGACGTCACACGGGAAGAGCTTCTCACCTGCGTGAGACCTCATGTGGTACCTGAGGAGCCACTTGTGGAGGAAACTCTTCCCACAGGTCTGACAAGAGGAGGGCTTCTCACCTGGGTGAGGCTTTTTGTGTCTCTTCGGTTTGGRGCCGCCCACGTCCCCTCTGCTCGTCCCGGGGTTCTCACCCCAGCTTCCTGCCCGGTCCTGGTCCCGGTTCTCAGCCTCAGGAGAGTTCTGAGGGAGCAGCTGGTCCCAGTTTGGTTCTGGTTCCCAGTGGTCCCTGTCCTCACAGTCCACAGTCACAATGAGGGTCTCTGCCTCCTGCTTTAGGACCGGCTGCTCTTCATCCTGACTGATGCAGAGCTCCTCCTCCTCCTCTTTGAAGAGCAGAGCTTCTGGTCTCTCCTCAGGAGGTCCTGGTCTCTCCTCAGGAGGTCCTGGTCTCTCTGGAGGTCCTGGTCTCTCTGGAGGTCCTGGTTCCTCCTGGTCAGGGAGAAGCTCCTCCTCCTTACAGACATGACGCTGTGGGAGTTCTGCACAGAAAACAGGTTTCAGTTTATTCATCAACAGTAAAGTTAACTTCCTGTTTATGTCGACAGAAATAAAAGCAGACACGTGGTCTGACAGAACCTGGGAGGAACCGGTCCCAGCACCGGTCCTGGCTGCAACACAACACTTTTAAAATAAATGCAACCTGGGAGAATTTGCATTTCCGGTGAAAATGCACAGAACCAGTGTGTTTAGTAAAACACCAGCTTTAACCAAACACGTGCCCACCTGCTGATCCGGAGCTGCTCACTGGTTTCCAGCGGATCTCCAGCAGTCTGCGCTGACGATCGATCTCTTCCTCGTACTGGACGATGGTTTTTTCAAACTCTGTGAATATTTCTTCAGCAGCAGCAGTTAGTCTCTCGCTGATAAACTCTCTCAGAGACTGAACTGAAGACATTGTTACTGCACACACTCAAACATTCACCTCACACACACAAACCGAACACAGCTAGCTATGCTAACGGGGCTAGCGCCTTGTTTACTTCCGGTGAGTCTGACGTCACACCGCAAAGCTCACCGCATCTGTTTATGGATAAACGGATAAAACAGGTCATACAAAAACCAGTCATTTGGCGCCAGTTCAGCCTCACTAATGACTTCAACACAACTTGTAATTATCCACCAGAACCAACATAAACATGAGGAAAGCTAACACGCTAACACTGCTAGCACCTGGTTCACTTCCGGTGATATCTCAGYGTTTCCTTTTATTTTTTTAATCTGTGTTTCCAGTTACTAATCTAAAGCAACATTTTACTCATCAATGACGCTGATCTAAAAGCCAGAAATAAAAATTAATTGCAGAACTGTTTTTAGAGCCGTAATGTTTATAGTTTWAATGTTTTATTTGAGACGCCGGAAATGAGTTGTCCGCCAGCGCTGCAGCGACCCCTGAAGGTAGAGAAACATTACTGCAGCTGTGCAAAAACAGTTTTATAAAAAGGAACAATAAAACAAGACAGAACAAAAATAAAAGGAAATAAAATCATGACTTACAGAGTTCATTTGTACAAACTACAGATACATTCTTACTGTATACTACGTTGCCTTGTTTGAATCCGAGATTGCATCAGAGATAAAAAAGTGAGTTTCTATGCAATGTTTTACATTTATGAATATGAAACTTTGCAAAAAAGAAATTAGATTAATCATACGTATATAAGGTTTACATTAGTTTTATTTTAAAATCTGTGATACCAAACAAAATGWTTTCAAAATGCATTGAAAAATTATATTTTATATTGGAAATCAGAGCAGCAGTGTCTTTCCAAAAGTTCTGTGAGMAAGTACGTTTAAAAAGAAAGATGAACAAATGTTTAGATAATATTTTCAGAAAGGACAGGAAGTATCAGCTTTGTATTTCTGAAGACRAGGTGCTGTGAGGTACAAAACAAAGATGCTAACGTGTTAGCTTTAGCTTCATTATAAAGGACACAAGATGTTCACAAAAACTGAATTTTTAATAAACCAAAATACAGTTTCACAACAAATTAATTCAGTTTCAAATCATTGTCAGTTTAAATTTAGTAAAATTTGTTTTCAAACTAATTAATTCAGTTTCAAATTATGTATATTCAGATTCAATCTGAGCGATTAAAATTAAACTCCTGCTGACACTAAATTTATCCCATAGAGAAACATTGACAGGTGACGATCTGAACTCTGCTCAGTTTGATGCGTTCAGGACATTCAGCCTGTTGGATACATTCATATGGTTTTCTTGGCCCCGCCCCTCGAGTCATCCGGTCCACAAAGATCTGGACTCAGGGTTCGGAGTCCTTCAGTTGTCCTCTGATCTGAACTTTGTCAGGTAAGATTTACTCACTTTCTTTTTCTGGATGAACTCTCATGTGGGACGACAACTTTCCTCTCAGAGTAAAAATTTTCCCACACGTTTTRCAGGAGAAGGGCTTCTCACCCAGATGTCTCTTCATGTGGACGGTCAGATAGCTGTTCTGGGCGAAGCTCTTTCCACATGTTTTACATGTGTAGGGCTTCTCACCAGTGTGAATTCTCATGTGTCCGACCAAAAGGTATTTCTCAGAGAAACACTTTTTGCAGGTTTCACAGGAAAAGGGCTTCTCACCGGTGTGAATCCTCAGGTGAGTCGTTAAATGACTGGACTGGAAGAAACTCTTACCACATGTTTTACAWGTGTAGGGCTTCTCACCCGTGTGAGTTCTCATGTGGTTGGTCAGACTAGCATTTTGAAAATAACATTTACCACATATTTTACAGGAGAAGGACTTCTCACCCAGATGTCTCTTCATGTGGACGGTCAGATAGCTGTTCTGGGCGAAGCTCTTTCCACACGTTTTACAGGAGAAGGTATTCTCACGCGTGTGAGTCCTCAGGTGAGTCGTTAAGTGACCAGACTGGGAGAAAGTCTTACCACATGTTTTACACGTGTAGGGCTTCTCACCCGTGTGAGTTCTCATGTGGCTCACTAATTTACTATATCCAGGGAAACTTTTGCCACACGTGGTGCACTTGTGGGGCTTCTCACCAGTGTGAGTTTTCATGTGTTTGTTCAGACTCCTCCTCTGAGTGAAGCCTTTGCTACAGGTTTTACAGGAATAGGGCTTCTCACCCGTGTGAGTTCTCATGTGTCCGACCAAAACATATTTCTCAGAGAAGCATTTGCCGCAGGTTTTACACAAGTAGGGTTTCTCACCCGTGTGAGTCCTCTGGTGAGTTGTTAAATGACCAGACTGAGAGAAACTTTTACCACATGTTTTGCACATGTAGGGCTTCTCACCCGTGTGAGTTCTCATGTGGCTCAGCAGGTAGTCTCTACTTTTGTAGGTTTTTTGACACGTTGTGCAGGCGTAGGGCCTCTCACTGGTGTGGACTCGTCTATGAATCTCCATCCTGTATTTGCTCCTGAAACCTTTCCCACAAATATCACATTTTGCAGGTTTTCTCTCCTCGGGCTCACACCACGTCTCTGAAGGGTTCTGGTTCCTGCTGGAACAGTTCTGTGGGTTTGGTTCTCCGTCACCAGATGGTCCAGCCTGGTCTGGGTTCTCAGGAAGGTTCTGAGACGGGACTTGGTCCCAGTTTGGTTCTGGTTTAATGTGGTCTCGTTCCTGAGCAGGAGTCACCATGAGGGTATCGACCTCTTGCTTCAGAACCAGCGGCTCTAGCGTGGGTTTGGTGGAAGTACTGGGCTTCTCACCCGTGTGAATTTCCATGTGGTCAGTCAAAAGTTTTTTCTGTTTGAAACTTTTACTGCACATCTCACAGGAAAAGGACTTCTCACCAGCGTGGCTTTTCATGTGGTTTATTTGATTGCTTTTCTGAGTGAAGCACTTACCACAGATTTTACAGGAGAAGGGCTTCTCAYCTGTGTGAGTTCTCATGTGATTGGTCAGATTGCTCTTCTGAGAGTAGCATTTGCCACAGATTTTGCAGGAAAAGGGCTTCTCACCTGTGTGAGTTCTCATGTGGGCTTTTAGGGTAGAATTCAGGGAGAAGCGTTTGCCGCAGGTTTGACAGGAAAAGGCCTTCTCACCCGTGTGTAATTTCATGTGGACAGTCAGACTGCAGTTTTGAACAAAGCATTTGCCGCATATTTTACAAGAAAAGGCCTTCTCACCTGTGTGTGTTTTCATGTGGATGTTCAGACCGCTCYGTAAAGCAAAACATTTGCCACAAGTTTTACAGGAGAAGGGCTTCTCACCAGTGTGAGTTCTCATGTGGCCCACTACATCGGCTCGTCGAGTGAAGTTCTTACCGCACGTTTTGCAGGCGAAGGGCTTCTCACCACTGTGAGTCCTCATGTGGGCTTGTAAAAACGAATTACGAGAGAAGCATTTACTGCAAACTTTACAGCAGAAGGGCTTCTCACCACTGTGAGTCCTCATGTGGGCTATTAAAATATAATTATAAGAGAAGCATTTGCCACATGTAGTACAGGAAAAGGCCTTCTCACCTGAGTGTGTTTTTATGTGGATGTTCAGACCGCTCCTTAGAGCAAAACATCGGCCACATATTTTACAGGAAAAGGGTTTCTCACCAGTGTGYCTTCTCATGTGGGTCAGTATGTGGCCACGCTGAGCAAAACTCTTACCGCACATTTTGCACGTGAAGGGCTTCTCACCAGTGTGAATTTTTACATGCGATGCTAACTGACTACCCTGCGTAAAACTTTTACCACATGTTTTACACGTGTAGGGCTTCTCACCCGTGTGAGTTCTCACATGGGCTTTTAAAATAGAGTTGTCAGAAAAGCATTTGTCGCAGGTTTTACAAGAAAAGGGCTTCTCACCAGTGTGAACTCTCATGTGGGTCACTAGACGGCTCCGCTGAATGAACGTTTTGCCGCATGTTTCGCATATAAAGGGTTTCTCACCAGTGTGGGTCCTTGTGTGATTAATTAATCGACTTTTTAAAGAAAAGCTTTTTCCACATGTTTGACACGGATAGGGCTTCTCACCAGTGTGGGTCCTCGTATGGATCGTTAACTGGCTTTTTAAAGTGAAGCTTTTCCCACATGTTTGACATATATAGGGCTTCTCACCAGTGTGGAATCTCATGTGGGTCACCAGCTGAACATGCTGGGTGAAACATTTTCCACATGTTTGACACAGGTAGGGCTTCTCACCCGTGTGGATTCTTACGTGGTAAATTAAATTGCTTTGTCTGACGAAGCATTTACCGCAGACCTTACAGGCGTATGGTCTCTGACCTGTGTGGGTTCTGGTGTGGACAATCAGATCCCAGCTTCTCATGAAGCATTTACCACAGAACTTACAGGGAAAGGGTTTCTCACCAGTGTGGACTCTTCTATGGTCTCTCATCTGA